CCGGGTTGACGGACCCCCTCTGCCTTCTGCTGGGACAGCAGTGACCTCATCCGCCGACCCCCCAGGAGAAAGCTGGGCCTGGCGGGCGGGGCTGTGCCCCTGAGGATTCAAGGGACATTGGTGGAGGCGATTCTGTGTCCAGGGGACCTCAGGGGTCATGCCTTAGGCCCTTCTTCTGCCAGCAGGTGGCTCCTGGCCACGTTCTTTCTGCCCTTGCTCTCTGGCCGGTCAGGGCTCTGGAGAAGAGGCTCCTGTGGTCAGGACGTAGGCCACAGGGCACCAGGAGCCCCGCCTTGGCCGCGGGATGGAAGGTGTGGAACTGCTGCACAGGGTCAAGGCCCGCTCAGCCCCTGGCGGCTTGAGTGAGCCTGTGTAACCACCCCGTGCCTCGGTTTCCCCCAGGAACCTGCCGTGAGGATGAGATGACTGTGAAGAGGGCTGTGGTCAGTCCTGGGCGTGGCATCAGAGACCTGGCTCCGCCTGCCGGGGGCTCTCTGTGGCTTTTGAAAAGTCCTGGGTGTCCTCACTTTCAGGTGTAGGAGGCTCCAGCGGTACCCCGTCCGAGGTCGTGCTGGGGACGGAGAGATGAGCGTCTGAGAGAGCCCCGCCCCGCGCCTGGCACTCAGAGCCCCGCCCCGCGCCTGGCACTCAGAGCCCCGCCCGCGCCTGGCACTCAGGGGTCAGTCGGAGCCTTGTTCTGCTCCCAGGGCCCAGCGGGTCCCCGGGCAGAGCAGGTGGTGGGGGGTGCTCTGATTTCCTCCACCCTTGCCCTGGCCAGGCCCAGTCTCCCGGGAGCCATTGGCCCCTGTGGGGACCTCTCTGTTTGTGCAGCCGGCCTCCCGCCCGTTGCTGCCTGGTTTTCTGGTGAAAGGGCCGCGTCCCCAGGTCGGGCAGGGCCTGCGGCAGGAGGGCCTTCGGCTCTCGTTTCTGCGCCCCCTCCCCTTCTTCACCTCGGCCCTCCTGCTTCCTGGCCGCCGGCTCCTCCTCTTCCACTGTCCAGGGTCCTCGGACACCACACAAAGGCCCCTGTGACTCCCGACGCCCGGGGCTGGTCTGAAATTCAATTATGGCGAGGGGCTTTCTCCTCCCCCCCTCCCTTCCTTTTCCTCTTTCTCTTTTCTTTTTTCCTCTTCTTTTTTTTTAAGATCAAAAAAGACAAGACAGACCCTGTGACCTCAGAGGACCCCGTCACTGAAAATTCTCTTCCTGGCTCTCACCTGGTGATGGAGCCGCGGGGGTCTCTCCCCCAACCTTGTTGGGGACTCTTTTCTTGGGCCTCCCACTCGCTGCTGGGGACCCATGTAAGTTTCCTGCCCAAGACATAATGGCTGTCCCCTGTGTCCGTCCAGTCCAGCCCTGGGCGGCTTCTGGTTGGCCTTTGTCTCCAGCGAGGCCTTGCTCCATTTCTGAGCCTGAAATCTGCAGGGAGTCGCTGGCTGGAAGACTGCAGGCCAGATGGGGACAGGGCAGTGGCTGGGGGGCGAGAGCCCAGGTGGCATCTGGTGCTGGCCCTCTGCCTGTTGGGTGCAGCCCAGGCCCCTGGTGGCCTGCATGTGACAGTTCTGCTTTTCAGGTGTCTTCCCTGAGTGTCCGCCAGGTGCCGGGGGCGCTCCTGGGCCTGTGGACACACGGGGATCGAATCTTCTCTGGGCCTCCAGGGTTTGGAGGAGGCGGCCCTGGGGGGTCCTTTTGGCCGAAAGCAAGGAAAGCCCCCAGAGATGCCGCGGGAAGCCAGGTGGCAAGGGAGATGTTTGTTTCCTTTTTAGTGACCATTTTCAGAACAAATAGTCTTTGAGGCACAGACTCTGTCCTAACCCCAAGAAGCCCCTCAGGAACATGGGGGTGAAAGCTCCTCTCCCCAACCAGGAGAGCGGCTGCCCAGGGGACGCAGAGAGCAGGGGCCAGGCGTCAGCCTCCCACCCGATCCTCATCCGCCCCCAGGACCTCACAGACGCCGCCTCACCTCCAGGGCAGCACGGGATCCCGGGTCCCGAGGCTCTTCTTCCCCACCTGGCCCCTGTCACCGTGGCCCTCAGTCCCCATTCCTGGGGTCCAAGAACGAGAAGAGGATAATGACAAGCTATGGAGCAGAGAGGGACACGGAGTGACACTGGAGAGCAAGAATGACCGACGACGGGTGGTGGCCCAGACGGGGACCTGGCTGGCAGTCCCTCAACAGCTCGGAGGATGGCAGAGAAGATGGGTGCTGTTCCCACCGGCCCAGGGAAGAGAAGGTTCCAGAGATGGCTGCTCTGCCTTCCCACCTTCCTGCTTTTGCCCACGCCCCCCTTCCCCGAGTGCCCCCCAAGGCCCCACGCCCTCGGCCTGCCCATCCTTCACTCCTGGTCAAGGGCGGCTCCTCCATGAAGCCCTCCGGGTCCGTCGGCCCTGGGAGCTGCGTGTCCTCCTTCCCACCCCTGTGCACTGCCTGGTCTGCTCCTGGGAGGTGCAGGGCTGCCCCGCTCCGTGTGGGGACAGAAACACTGGCTCCCAAATCACTGGGTCAGGACTGACTTCCTCACTAGGGGACCCTCTATAGCACCCAGCACCCACTCCACTGCCGTGGGTGGAATGAACGAGCAGAGACCAACAGCAGCGGCCGGCCCCGTGCTGGGGCCTTAGTGCCTCGTGTCCTTAAATGAAGCCTCACGGAGCCGGAAAACCTGGGGACTCTGGGAATCGCTTTGCAGATAATGAAACAGAAGCCCAGAAAGTGCGGAGTCCCAAAGCCCACTAGTTGCAGAACTTTATCTTCTGGGTGCCCCCGAGCAGCGGGCCTTGCCTACGCGGCCAAAGCAGGGTGCTGTAAATGCTCGGTGCTCAAACATCAGGGATGTGTGTGTTGTGTATATATAGCATTGTCGGGATGGAATCCAGGGCCTTGCTCACGATAAGCAGGTGCGGCGTCACTGAGCTACACTCCCAGCCCCTCCATCGAGGACAATTTAAAAACTTGTAATTGTCATGTATTTACTCCAACACGAGGTAGAAAAAATACAATCCACACCGTCAACCTGTTTTTTTATCAGTATTTTTGCATAACACAAGGCCAAAGAGGTATTTGAGTTTTTTAAAAATATATTAGCACATTAATAGGAACGAACTTAAAGCAAGTACTAATTAATAATACCAATTAAATAATCGTTTGCATGCTAGACATTGCTTCAGAGAAGACAGGGGTATCTGGGCTGTGTGGCTGGAATTTGAAGCTCGGTCCATCTGGGTCTGAAGCTGCAGCCATCTTGACTGTCCCATGGCCCCTGTAGATTTCTGATTTCATGTCATTTTGCTTTTGAGGTGCTGGGGTTGGAACCCAGGGCCTTGCACACAGTGGGCAAGTGCTTTACCACTGCGTTCACCCCCAGCCCTTGTAAGAGTGTCCTGAGGGCACATGCAGTGTCCCATGGTTAGATGGCAGAGTCTTGGATATATTGGTAATTTACAGATGGAAAGCTCGGAGTTTTCCTGGTTTCAGTAGAGTCTGTGCAAGCTGATTTTAGCAAACTTTGTAGCAAAGTTAATACAAGTTTTATATATATATACCTTACATTTATATATAGAATATGCATATTTGATATAAGAATATATGGATGACCCTAATAGCAATAATGAGAAGGAGATAAGCAAAGCAGGCGCTGAGCATGTTCTCTCTTTACAACGACCCTCAGCGGCAGGAACCCTTCTTTTATCCACTTTGGAAATGAAGAAAACTGAGATGTGGAGTGGGTAAAGGATTGGTCCAAGTTGATCACAGAAGGGTTTCCTAACAGCCAAGGCAAAAATGGGAACAGAAGGCCGCATATGTCATTATCTGTTGAAAGGAAGCATGTTGACATTTGGTCTGGGGAAACGTCTGACTTCCCCAGAAAATTAAAGTTGTTCCCCAGATCATTTTATAAGGAATCCCGTGGAGTGTGGGACTTTTATAAGATCTTTCATTTTGAAATGACCTCAAGGTTATGAAGAGTTGCAAGAATAGAACAAACAACTCCCGAATACCCTTCATTTGGATCTGCCTGGTGTCACATTGCTCTTGTTTTCTGACACTCTTTTTCCGTACACGTGTGGCTGGTAGTTTTCTGAACTGCAGATGCTCTTCCTCACCCAGATTTCAACCAAGACTCTCATGTTACATTGAGTTGTAACATCTCTTCAATCCAGAATAGTTTCTTAGCTTTTCACTGATATTTTTCCAAAGTGGATGGCTTATTGTAGATCGCCCCCAATTTACTTTCTTTTTTTTTCGAGCCATATCCCCAGCCCTTTAAGTTGCTGAGGCTGGCTTTGAACTCGTGGTCCCCTGCCTTAGCCTCCCAACCCCTGGGGTCACAGGTGCTCGCCACCTCGCCAGCTTCAATGTCTTTTTTCCTGGTGTTTCTCCCGCAAGCTTTGGGTCATACGCCCTGCACAGCAATATCATCCTTCACTTTGCCTGTGTACCCATCGCTGTGGGTGTTGATTTTTTGCTCTTGAGTAAGGGGGATCCCCGCCAGGTTACACCCATGTGAAGCTATTTTCCTTTGCAATCCATAAGTAACTGTGGGGAGATACGTCGAAACCATGGAAACAGCCTATTAATCCTCAAACTTTTCCACACAAGCTTTAGTATCGGTGACCTTAATACAAATTTTTCTAGCAGTGGCTTGATTAATGTTTTTGTTTTTTTTTTTAAAAAATCTTCCCAAGACAATTTCTTATGCAGAACCATCTGGAATATCACCTCTGCTCAGAGACAGCACTTTTGACTCAAGACGGATGGAGGGTCCTCGGTGAATCTTTCCTGCTTAGTTGACACAGAGGGAAGTGGGGGGTACTGGGAAGCTTAGGGGGGGGTTCCCAGTATTTGGGGTGAGCAGAGGCTGCTCCTCTTACTGTTGGGAGAAACAGGAGACGGGGAGGGGAGGGTCACCCCTGGAGAGCCAGTCAGGTGCACTGGTCTGTTCAGGTTGCCATAGCAACACCTCTGTGGGGTGGTTTTACTACAGATGGCAGCTCCCCCGCCTCCATTTTTGGAGGCTGGAATTTCAGGATCAATGGCCCCCCTCCTCGGCTTGCAAAGGCCACCTTCTCCCCTGTCCCCACGTGGCCCTTTCTCTGCACCTCTTTTCTTCTAAGGCCCTCGGTCCTGTTTTATCAGAGCTCCTCCTCATGCAACCTCAGGTACCGTCCCATTGGAGGCCAGGGCTTTGGGACATAGGCATCTGGGGGACTCAGTTCAGCCCATAACACCTGGTAGGGAAGGAATGAGGAAGACGGGGGTGGGGGGTGGCCTGAGGATGCGAAGTCCTGCCCAGCCCCCTCCCCCCGGGGACCCAGGGGGCCACTTATGCCCACTGTGAAGGAGCAGCCGCACCAGGGCAGGGCTCCATGTCCCGTTCTCCAGAGGGAGCGTCCCCAGAGCTGTGCACACCGCTCCTGTCTCCTGACGCTGCTTTCCGGAAGGTTCTTCCGTATCATTCTGGGTCTAGGAAGAGACACACCTCGAGGTGCCTTTGGAGGAAGCAAAGCCCTGGCCTGGGGTCTGCGCCCCACGTCACCCGCTCAGCAGCTTGCCCAGACGTGCCCGCGGGCCCAGCCGACAACATAGCAACCCGGAACCCACAGGGGCCGGTCCTCTGCGGGCTCCTGGGAACTTCCCTGTGCCACCGAGTCCCTTCTGCAGAGGAGAGGCCACCGACGCAGCCCCAGGGCGCTCTCTCCGTTGCTGCAAAGACCTTCTTCTCTAAGCTCCGTTCTCGCGGGCTCTCTGGGGCACGCTGGGGAGGGTCCTCCCCCGTGGGTGGCTCCGTGAGCCTGAAGGGCCCCGTCCCTCTGTCCTGCTGTCTTGGGTTTGCCTTTCTCCCCCAGTGACCTCAGTGGCAGCCACCGCCGGCCATTTCCCCTGCTCCCCAGTCCTGTGGTTCTGGCCTCGTCTTCGTGGAGTCTGACGCAGGAAGCCCGAAACCCACTTGGGAGGCGTCCCAGGAGCCTTTCTCCTCCAGACCCTCCAGGGTGGTGCCAAGTGGGCGGAGGGGGTGCCACTCTCCGCCTTCCTGCAACTCAGCAAATTGCAATTTATGAGCTTCCATCCACATGAAAGGGCCCCCGATGGAGTCTCTCTGGATTTATTTGGAATGTTGAATTAATTTGGAAAACAAGGGGAAAAACAACTTGGTTTCAGCCCAGCGAGGGACCGTGACATTTTGCCCAGTCTGGTGGCAGTTTCTTCATGTCGGCCCTGAGCACCGCCCCCCAGACCAACCGCAGGTAGGTGGGGGTGGGGATGGAGTTCTGTCCCCTCGCCAGGTCATGTGGTGGGGGTCATCGTCCACACGGGAGAGTGGAGAGAGGTCTGGGCTGGGTGCCAGGGACTGAGGTTCCAATCTTGGTCTCACTGTCCCTTCCTCGGACTGGTCAGGTGTGTGGGCTCTGAATCACTTCTGAGGCACCGTGAGCGGGCACGACAGCCATGACCCACAATCCCTTTCTCAGCTCCCCCACCCCCCATGGAGTCCCGTACCCTGGCTGGTTCCCTGCGTGGCTGCTGCGTGATCTGGAAATGCAATTCGGATCGTCATCCCACCCCGCTGCTGCACCCCTGGGCAACCCTTGTGGCCTGGGAGTCCCGGCGTGACCTGTCCTCTGTCCCCCTCTGCAGCCGCTTCCTGAGCCACAGCCCTGGCCCTCTGCCCACCAGGTCTCTGCATTCCGACACTCACAGGCTGACCCCAGTGTCGCGGGCTTGGCCGAGTCTGTGTCATTGGCCTGGACAGCACTTGGTGGTCCCTCGTTTTGGGGCACCTTGATGTCCATTCTCCCTTTAGTCCTCAGCTGGGCCTCTGATCCCTCTGGGGGCTCCAGGGCCAACCCAGATGTTCCCTTTAGTCCTCCTCCTGGCGCCAAGTTTCCCTCCCTGGAAGCGGTTCTTGGTTTTCAGGAGAGCCATTCTGCATTTCTGCGTGGGATGATTAACTTCTGTCTCTTGCACAGGCCAGGACCCTGGTTTTGCTTTCGTCGTTGAATCCTGGGTGTGAAATACGGCAGCGGAGCTCAGGAGGCCCTGGGGAATCAGTGGTGGCTGCATAGATGAACGGAAGAGCCCCAAAGCGTGGACACTGGTGTCCCTTGTTCAAGTCGTGGGTTGTGAATGGCCGCGCACAGCTCTCTATCAAAGACGGGACGGGACCTGCCCGAGCAAACAGGGGTACCCAAGGCAGGTGGCTGTTTGCTTGGTGGGTTAGCAGCCGGGTCAGTGCCATCTCCTGGGAACAGGATGCAAAGCCTAGACGAGGACCAGATCTTGCTCACGGGTCAGCTGGGGAATCTCAGAGTCCCCGTCCTGGGACTGCTGAGGAGATAGATTGGAAAGTGTCGTCCTTTACTCGGGCGCAGTTTGAGGAGTATCTGCTCGCTCAGCTTCTCCTCCCCCACGCTGACAGCCGGCTCATCCCTCCCCACTGGAGGCCAGGAGCGAAGGCCTAAAGCCCTGTCATTTCTTCTGTCCTGTGGGCTTTGTTAGCTGGCCTCTTTGGGGGTCACCATTCCTATTTGCAAAGCCTGCTGTGGGGTCCCGTCTTTTGTGTCCAGGTAACGGGGAGCATCACTCCAGATGAAGAGGTAGGATGTGGCGGAGGGGGCTGAGCAGTGACTGGTGCAGACCCCGGAGGCTGGGCCTCCATGTGTCTCTTCAGAGAGGAGGTGAGGCTCAGGAAGTAGGAAGTACATTTCCTGAACATTGGCCGTGGGGATGGGGGTTGGGTGACAGAAGGTCCTCTGTGGGCACATGGGCCCCTGCTCGCTCACCTGGGTTCACGTGATCTCTATCCAGTCCAGAGGCGATCATCACCGGCCACCATCATCCTTCTTCCCCTTTCTCTGCCTTTTCTCCCCACGCCCTCGTCAATTCTCGAGGCAGCAGAATGATCGCTTTGTGTCTGTGTGGTGCTGAGGATGGAACCCAGGGCCTCGTGCATGGCAGGAGAGCGCTCTGCCCCTGAGCCCCAGCCCCAGCCCAGAAGGATCGGTTTAAAGAGCAAATCAGAACACAGCTGCCCAGCTCCGCACCCAGGTCCCCACACTTGGACACACCCCAAGTCCCCACCCTGGCCCTCCTGGGGGTAAGCCTGAGACCAGCCTCCTCCCTGGCCTCCTCCCCTCCCCACCCATCCCCCATCCTCCTGCTCCAACCTCTCCCCTTCCCTGGGCCCCTCAAACCCCAGACTCACTTGGTATTTTCTGGAAACTCCTTCTGCCTTGACCTTGTGGGCATTTAGGGGTCAGCTCAAATGTCCCCTTTACAGAGAGACCCCCACCCGCCCCTCCCCCGCCAGCCTGTTCTATTTCAGAGTAACTCACCCCGTGATCTGCTCTGTCTCCTCAGTTCCCCTTCGTCTCCGGCCTTCTCCGCTGGAAGAACACGGGATCCTTTTTGATCTTGTCTGCCGCAGTCTGGCTGGGCACAATTCAGGAGCCACTTGTCAAAAGAAACTAACTTTATTTTTAGAACTACAAACGCCAAACAAAACAGCTCCTCAGGGAAAAAACCCTCAGAGCCCAACTGCCACCACCGGCTTCCACAAGCCTCTCACCCACACCAACCTCACCACCTCCCACAATCCTCCTGCTCTTGAGGCTGATTGGCTGGGTCGCATGGGCGGAGCCAAAGAAGTCCCCCAATGAGCAGTTCCATAGTCTGAAGGGCAGGGAAACAGCCCAATGAACATCACCGCAGAGGAGCCAATCAGCTAGATGTTGCTGGGGCCGCTGTGAGCCAATCATCAGCCGGCAGCTGGAAGTTTGCTGGCAGCTGGAAGTTTGCTGGGGCCCCTTTGGCTGTGGCTCTCAACACTTGTCCACTCCCACATCCCCAGTGACTGGAAAGGCCCCTGTTTGCTCGTCAAATGTTTGTTGAATGAGTGACAGATCCAAGAGGGGATCATGGACTCCGGGGGGTACAGTCCAGCTGCTATAGCAAGGAGACTCCCCAAACACAGTGGCTTCACACCTGCCGTTTCAGGTTTTTCCCTGAAATAGTCCAGGATGGGCGAAGCCATCCCCAACAGAGGACATGACTCCCAGGCAGCTCCAAAGTGGCTGCACCAGCTCCAGCCACCTTCCAGCCTACGGGGCGAAGCAGGGGCAGAGCCTGGGGCACAGGGCACAGGCCTTTGGAGGGAGAGACTCTAAGAGACTGTTCCCTTTTTTTTAATTAATTCTTTTTTTTAGACATATCCATTATTTAAATTAGTTCTGATTAGGTATTTATGACAGCAGAAAGCATTTTGACTCACTGTACACAAATGGAGCCCAGCTTTTCATTTCTCTGGTTGTGCATGACGTAGTGTGGCACCATACGGGCAGTCATACGTGTGCCTAGGGTAATGATGTCCATCTCATCCCACCATCTCGCCTGCCCCCACCCCCTGCCCATCTCTCCCTCCCTTGGCCCAATCAAAGCTCATCCATGCTTCCCACCCCACCCCCATTATGGGTCAGCACCCTCTTATCAGAGAGGACATTTGGCCTTTGGTTTTGGGGGATTGACTAACTTTACTTACCATGATGTTCTCCGACTCCATCCATTTCCCTGCAAGTGCCATCATCTATTCTCTGTTAATGCTGAGTCCTATTCCATTGTGTCTTTACACCACAGTTTCTTTATCCATTCATCTATTGGTGGGCACCTGGGTGGGTTCCCTGACTGTTGTGAATTGAGCTGCTAGAAACATTGATGTGGCTGCGTCCCTGTAATGTTGATTTCCAGTCCTTTGGTCGTAAACCGAGGAGTGGGGTGACTGGGTCCAACTGTGGTTCCGTTCCCAGTTTTCTGAGGACTCTCCTTCTGCTTTCCCCAGGGGCCGCACCAATTTGCAGTCCCACCAGCACCGTAGGAGCCGCCTTCCCCGCGTCCTCGCCAGAGCTGACTGCAGCCACTGTGACGGGAGTGGGGTGGAACCTCAGGGTGGTTCTGGGGTGCGTTTCTCTAATGGCGAGAGATGTGGAACATTTTCTCCTGCAGGCAGGGGAGGGGGCGTGGGGGCAGGAGAGCTGGTGGAAGGAGGCGGGCATCGTCACCCCAGGTACACGTGTGACTGTGCGAAGGGTGCGACTCTACTTCGTGTGCCACCAGAGAAGTGAAAATTGGTGCTCCATCTGTATACAACGAAGAGAGGTGCAGTCTGCTGCCGTGTGGAGCTCCTTAGAACAAAACCAAGGAATCACCCAGGAGGGGAGGGGCTTTTCCTCCAAAGCCCCCCTCCCTGACTTGCTCGGGCGCTGGGAAGGAGCCTGCGGCTGTGCGGCTGTGCAACCCGGCCTTGCTCGCCACCGAGGGGATGGGCGCAGGAGTCCCTGGGCAGCAGCTGCCAGGCCTGGAACTGTCCCCAGACCTATCTGAAGGGCGAGGAGCGGGAAGGACCCTGCGGCGGCCCCTCCCCGGGCTTGGCAGCCATCTGAGGTGGGGGCCCGGCCTCTGTCTGCAGGAAACGAATCCATGGAAAATCCCCGAGTGGTGTCCCCGCCTCCCGAGCCACTGGGAGGCCGCCGCCGGGAGCCTCGAGGTGGGAGGCGGGAACTGGCGGTGGGACGGAGCCGCTGGGATCAAACTGACTTTTTGACACATTTCTGTGGGAAGGCGTCCCTGAGTGTGAAGCCGGCCTCCGGAGCAGCCAGGGACCTTTCATGTGGTACAGGGTTGGTGCTGACCCCCTCCACGGGACGCCAGGGCCTGGGGGACCTCAGACGGTGGGAAGGCAGGAAGCCCCAGGCCCGGGCCACCGGCAAGAGCCAAGTCCTCCATGCCTCACCTCCAGGAGGGAGGCTGCCTCCAGCCGGCTCCAGGCTCCTGGACCACCGCACCGGAGGCAGGGCAGCCTGCGCCCCGGGCCAAACTCTGGTCCTGCGACTCACCGGCAGAGTCACCTGGTGAGCCCGTGAGCCCTGAGCTTCGTCCTCATCCGTGGAACAAGGACCATCAGAGATGAGCCAGTAGGTGAGAAAGCTGCTTACCCCCCCAGCAACACCCCAGGCCCCTACAGATTCTGTCATCTCACTCAGATGTATTATTGTATGCAAAATGATTTTATTATTATTATTATTATTATTATTCAATCAAAATAATCCTGTGAGAGAAGAATTGTTGAGCCCATTTTATGGATGAGGAAACCGAGCCCGGGGCTCCAGGAATACCCAGATTCATTGGTGGACTTGAAGACACAGGGCGGTCAGCCTCCAAAGCCCACATCCTTGGCCCCGGAAGGAGCCTCGGTTTGTCCTTAACACCGTCCCTGGTCAGACGGCTTCCTGACCACCTGGAGCACCCAGCACCCAGCACCCTCGAGGGCCGTCACCGGGGCCACAGGACACCCCATGCAAATGTCCGCATTTCACGAGGGACGGGGAGGCTCTTGAGCCCAGGGAGGGAGGCTACGCAGCGTGCCTTCCGTGGGGGTGCAACGTCCAGTTTCTTCTCTTCTGGGACCAATGTGGAGTGGCCGCCCTGCAGGTGCCCATGGACCATGGACCAGTCACACCCCCAAGGGCTTCCCCAGCTGCCCTCAGGTCTGCAGGGCATTCCCGCCAGCCTCTGCGGTTAGACGGGGCCGCTGGCCACTTGTCCAGCCTGAGTGCCGGGAGCCAGGAGGCAGGGTGGCCCGAGCAGCTCAGATAAGGTTGGAGGGTGGCCCCCTCTGGGCCCTCTGTCCTGGGGTCCCCAGACTGCTCTGTCAGAGCAGAGATGGACAAGCCAAGGCCCAGGGCTGCTGGGCAGGCGAGGACACTGCCCTGGGCCACGGGGCAGCTGGGGAGGTGAGGGAACGGGCCTTGAATTCCAGTCCTGCCATTACCCGCTGTGTGGCCTGGGGCGGGAGAAGAGGGCTGACTGCGAGGCCCCCTGCAGAGAGGCGTGGGAGAGCCCAAACAGGCAGGGAAAGGGCTCAGCCGGCGGCAGACACCCGCACGAGGCGGCTGCCACGTTATTGTTGACGTCGTTCTCATTCCAGCCCAAGTTCCAGAACCTTCTTCCAGCTAAAAGCCACACACCAAGGGGGGTGCCCAGGACTCATTTGATAAACCAGTGGGTCTGCAACCCCACGTTCACTGGGGGGTCGGGTGTTCCTGGTGGTCAGTTCTGCCAGCCTCCGTCCTTGTCTGGACCTGGCTGACCTTGGCCTTGGGGGTCTGCCCTGTGTTGATGCCGGGCCTGGGCAGCGCTAATGGTCCACATTTACTCAGGGAGCTTTTGCAGGAGGCTGGGGGGCTGGGACGGGCTTCCCCTGGAGGCAGCTGGGATGGCAGCGCTGGCCAGCAAGACCCTGTCCTCCTGTCTGAGTCCTATGGCAGAATGCGGGGCCTGTTGCTCTCCAAGCCGAGGCTCTGCGGTGGAGTTTGGGGGTTTGGGTTTCAAATTCTCTAACTTGTGTGGCCCTCTGCCTAACGGGTAGACCGAGGCCACTTGGAGGTCATGGTCACTCCTCCTCCCCTCCAGGTGCTGGACGACTGTGGGGCTGACTCACAGGGGGTCTCGGCCCCCCGGGTGTGGGGGTTCTCTTCAGAGCTCAGTGCTCCTCTGGGAGAAGAGGGGACAGAGTTTCTGGTGTCCTTTGCTTCCTTGAAGAAGAGAAGAGGTCGCCGAGGCTGGCCTTGGCTGGTAAGGGACCTGGAGGGTCTCGGGACGAGCTCCTGGCTTCCCCGAGCCGCTCGGGACCCCCAGGGCTGCCTGCGCCGCAGCCTCGTCCACGCAGCTGAGGGTCAGCCGCCAGCCATGAGCCTCTGCCGGAGCTCAGCGCAGCTGCTGGAGGCCCCGCTGCCCAGGAGAGGCACGAGCCTTGATTAGAGTTGTCAGGGCCTGAGTCAAATCACCAGAGTCAATTTCCTCCCCTGGTTCTTGCTGTCAGAATAAATTGGACGCCATTGCCTAACGCTCAGCCGCTTTCCCAGGGTTTGTGGATGCTCGGGGCTGGGGGGAAACAAGGAGGGGCCTTCAGAGCCAGGAGGCTTCAGGAAGTCTCAGACCATGACCTGTCCACCCTGGTCACTGTCCTCTCCCAAAGGAGGTACCGGAGCCGTGTGACCCAGCTGGAAGTCGGACGGTTCCCTGTTACCTCCACCTACTGACGGCCACTCTCAGGGGCCTCCCGGTGGGGCAGCAGCTGGAGTCCTCATGGTCCTCAGTTCCAGAGAGCCCGTTTCTCAGTCTGAAAAATGGGGACGCATCTGTCAGTTCTCTCTCTCTCTCTCTCTCCCTCTCTCTCTCTCTCTCTCTCTCTCTCTCTCTCTCTCGTATCCTTAAGAACAAAGCAACCAAAAGGAATAAACTAAGTAAGTAAGCACTGAAGTT